AAAGCACGCCGTTGTTGTTGTTGAGAGAGAATTCAAACCACTTTTCGGAATGTTCTTTGTTTCCGACATACGCAGGTAGCCAATGGACGATCCGATATTATTTCGTTTGCCGATTGGATCCATGAAAAGAAGATGTGGATGGTACTGTGATCATTCCCGAACCCGTGCCACAAGAAGCCGAGATTGCCGCCACGGCATGGGTGCCGTACAGAGTTTGCGGACATGGTGCATGGAGAAAGGACATCCCATGATATCGCACGTGCTCAATCTACTCGATCGAGGGGATGCCATTGAACGAACGGTCATTCCCAGTATTGTGCCGGGTCGAAGGGCGGCTCCAATATATTCCTCGCCTGTCATCAGTGAGGAGGAAACAAAAGAGACAAAGCAATCGTGATCACCACCATGATGCAGCTCATTTTGATCAGCGCAGGACAAGAGAGTTATTGGCAGTCACACACACACGCCGCATCGTTGGAACTGGAAGGTTCAGGGCGCAAGCAAACAACAGGCTGCACGCACCTGCACGATGAGTGTTCCTACAACATACAAAAATGCTCGTCCATGTCTTGAGAGCTGGATTCGATAATGAAAGTGGAAACCAACAGACTGTCAAGGGGTGTGAACGAAGACTTCTTGCTTACACATGGAGAAGTAAAGCACTACAGGTGGAAACTCATAGCGAAGCAGCTTGCCTCATCTTAGTCGACGCCACTTGCTTGCCAAGGACGTTTCATCCTTCATCCAAGTCGGCCCTTGAGCGAACATCCAGCTTCAGAAGATCTCGACCTAGCTAGGTAGCAGTGAGCGAGCTAGACTGCGGCGCAGTAAACGTTATTCTAGGATCTAGCGGTCTGGCTACTTTGATAGTGTACGTTCTCTGAGTCTTCCATCACCCGTAAGTATTACTGGAGGGAAAACCCGTGCGAGAACTTCTGGACCCTTAGCTTTGACTTGTAACGTCGTGTTTGAAGCTCCTCCCTCGATGCCGCAACTGGATGACATTACTAGCTACTAATAGCCTGTAACTTCCAGAAGACTATATAAAGCAATGCGAAGGAATAGAATAGCAAACTCCGAGCATCATTGTAATGCCTGAAGTGGTCTCTTTGACTCCCGCAGCATTTCTCCCACCGTCAGGATCTTTCTTTCTCAAGGAGGGTGACGATGATGACAGCATACCAGTATCAGTGATTCGCAGGGTTTCAGTCGCCAGCCGGAGGCAATTGCCCCCGACCGCCTTGAAAAGACACCAACTTTCTCGCAGTTGACTTTCGTAAGTGGATTTTCTACCGAACTTCACGGAGGCGTATCTTTTTGTGGAGGAACAAATCCAAAAAGAGGCCAAACGGAGGGTTCTCAACGAGCGCAACGTTGCAGGATACTCAAAGATTGCGGCTTCAAACCAAAAAGAAAAATAGAACACAATTGCAAAACAGAATTGTTGCTACAAGTAACGTGGCAACTCAAAACACTTCTTTTCCAACATCAAGATCCAATCTATTTTAACAGGAAACATGCCAGCGGCAGCAGGAGACGGACAGTGTGAAGTGGTTTTGGTGGGATGTGGAGCCCCCAAGCGAGGGTGAGTTTTGGATTTGTTTCGTTGGGGCCATGGACGGTGTTGTCTGTATCGTGGACCTAACTAACACTCTCTACAATTTTTTGACTGGATTCATAGAATGGGATGGTACCATGCCGAGCAACTCATGAAGGATAAGTGTCCTTCTGCCAAGTTGTGCTTCGTTGTGGAACCATGGTTCTTGGGAGGAGGTAGGTCTGCAGGTTCAATGGATGGGTATCCATTATCTTTGGGTAGCTCACTCGGAAGCTAAAAACATTTTTTGCCTCGTCACAGGCAAGGACAGCCCTCCCGGAAAAGAATTTGCCGAATACAAGAGCGAGTCTGAGGCCAAACATGGTGTTCAGTTTTTCCTCAGCCTCGCGGATCTTCCTCCTGTCGCAGAAGGAAAGAAACGCTTGGCTTTGGTTTCTGGACGTACTGCCGACAATCCACGCCTCCTTGGTGAATCCATCAAGGTAAGAGCATGAAAAAGAAACTAATTTTATTGGCAATTCCATGTGTGTGCGTTTTTTTGTTGTTGTCTCGATACACTAAACTCTTGTGTGCTTCTTTAAAAATCAGGCTGGATGCACCACCATTTACCTCGAAAAACCCGGAGCACCCACTGTTGCTGAGTTGCAATCCATGAAAGAGGAAGCTGCAGCTGCCGGCGTCAGAGTTCTCATGGGATACAACAAGAATGTGTGCAAGTATGTGAGCAAGGCCCTTGAATTTGCCAAGAGCACTGCCGGATCCCATGTTACCCTTGTGTCCAACAACACTTACGAAAATACACCCGAGTCTCTCGGAGAGTGCTTTGAGCGCAATGCCGAGGGTATGCTCAAGAACATGGCCATTCACGAGCTTGCTCTCCTTGTCAGTTTCTTTGATGTTTCCGTCGACAACATTGAGACTGCCACGGCAGACAAGACGTTTTCCAGCTGCCAAACCCTCAAGGGACCCAGTGGCAAGGAATGGACTGATTTTGATAAAATCAAGTTCACCATCAAGACCAAGACAGGCAAGGAAGTCAGTGTCCAAGCAGACCGCTGCGGAGGAGACACTTCTTATGCCATGGTCGAAGTGGATGGTAAGGAAGCTTTCCGCCATTCCATGCCTGATGAGGAGGACAAGGCCAATGTCGCCACTTTGGAGGCCGAGTACCCAGGAGCCATGCCATATTTCTTCTCCCAGGATCCCGACTACATTACGGTCAAGGAAAAGGTCGCTGCCTTTTGCGCCAAGGGTACTGATCCCGCTGGAATCGCCACCATTGACATTGCTGTTGAGACCCTACGTGTCGCAGAGCATTTGACTCCTTTGTTCAAGGAACAACTCAGCTAAAGTTGCTGCGAACTGTTTACCAGAGATATTGCCCTTTTTGGAGACGCCACCAGGCCAAAACCCAATTCGTGGTTGTTCACCTAATTTCCTGCTGCGCAAGAGATATTCATACTGCCATGGCTGAGTCTAGCGGAAGCAAGCTTTAAATTTACTAAAGGATAAAGAGGTATTGAGTTACTTGTTGTCCTGACGTCCCATCGTCCGATCCGTTCGACCTGCAACCGATTAAATCGAATCATCCTTTGGGGTGATCGTTGCCCCGCCTTGGCTGCCATCGCATCTTCGCCACTCCTGCCCTGAGCGAGCAGGAAGGTATATTTACTTGTCCTGGTCTCATAAACTCCTTCGTTCTTTTGCCTCGGCACTCATGTTTGGATATTTCCCTGCTCTACTTATCAACTACTTGGGAGCCTACCAGTAACAAACTTGACCGCTGGGCGCTCGCTGCGCAAACAACATGACGGGTTCCGGTAGCTGTTCCCGTCATCCTGACCTTCAACTGATACATCATGTCAAATGTCAAATAGCTGTTGCATCGGGCAACAAAAGGGATGATAGACTACTAATACCGTAAGCTGATGGTTTCGCTCAGCATCGCATTCGATATTCGGACACTGTTTGCACACCCGTGTGTTACTCGCGGGATTAAAGGCTATTGTTATGAAACATGCTTTGTAATCACGTGTGTTTAGGCAGAAGCATGTCGACACAATCTGTTGGTTCGAGCTCACATTATCGCTCGAAACCAGCATTACTTTACTTGGAAGAATCAGCCGTCCATACAAGACAAGAGCAAGAGTAAACTCGTTCAGCTACATACAGCGAGCGTACAAACAAGAATAGCTCAAGAATTGATCAATTGAATCTGTAGAAGACAAAGAGATACGTGATAGGATCAATAGGCTTGCGAGTACTCGAGTGCTGTCTGTCGAACACAAAGATAGTCGAAAGCATACCAGGTACTACGACTGCCTTTGGCAATGGATTGAGTTCAATCATTCAACAGATCAACATACTATTGAAGAAAGAACAACAACAAAATGCCGATAGAACTGGAAACAGCCTCGCTAGATTACTCTAGCACGCAATTCACTGCGGATATCAGGTCCATGTCGCAAGATTATTCAAGGCATGACTACTCCGACTATCGTTCTATGGATACTAGGAGTGTCAGATCAGACCCGCAATCAGTGGCCAAGTCTGCATTTACCAATTTTACAGAATCCCTATCTCATTCAACAGAAGAAATACAACACGGCGTCAAAAAGACTTTTTCGTCCATTGCCAGCAGCTTTTCCAGGTCGTCCACGGCATCTGAATCATCCTCTGAATCTGGTTCCTTTGACCAAAGCACCGATTCTTCCTCCTCAGGTTACAGCAGCCACACTGGAGGTGCCAGTGGAGGTCTGCAAAATATGAAATCATGGACCGAATTTGCCTTTGGAGAGGCCATGAAAAGCCGCGTATCGTCCTTGACATCATCCTCATCCTACAGTGTTTCTTCGTCAACCACGAGGAGCAGCAATGATTCTTCCTTGTCGTCCCGATCCGCATCTCCTCGAATGAACAGCGACAAGATCGCCATTACGGTAGATAAGGCGGGAATCGTTCTCCGTGAATCCAGTGATGACCACTCCAGCAGTTCCTCTGGATCGAGCAGTGTGGCGTCATGGCAAGAGACTGCCTCGCGAGACGTCTCCTTGCTGGACACCATTGGAGAAAACGGAGAAGAAGACGAAGAAGATGATGATGACGAAAACGATGACGGTTCCTCATCTGGTTCGGAGACGAGATCCGAAGGGCTGGATGATGATGACAACGGTCTCTTGTACGACTACGATGACGACAGTACAGAGTTTAACTCGGATGTGGGCCTCGAAGATCTGGGCGCTGTCATGTTGCAAATAGGATCGTGCCAATTTGAGCCAGAGAGTGCCAGTCTTAGCTTTGACGATGAAGAGTATTCGTACAATAGCAGTGGCCTGGTTGACTTTTCAAGATACGTGGCAGCTAAGAATGCCAAAGGCAAACCACAGCCGCACCGAGGCAACAACCATGGTTTCGACGATGACGATTCACAAAAAGAAAATGACGACCGCAACACAATATTCATGAAAAGGCTCCACAACAAATCGTCAAAACCGACGGAGAAGAAGAAAGGTGGTCTGACATCATTCTTAGTAAGTGTTCCTATCGTGTAAATCAAAAGCCGACGCCGCTTTGACTGCTTTGAAATAATTGTTTCCGCAATACACAACTTCTCACGTTGATTGCTTCGTTCTTCTTGTTACCTCAGAACAAGGCATTCAGCTGCGGTGGACCATTCTAACATTTTCAGCTCCAAGCCACCACATACAAGAAGATTTCAATAGAGAGTAACAGTAGCTACACACACTAAAGGCCTGCTTGGAAGGAGGCAGGCGAGAACAGCTGGCAAAATATGCAAGCAAATGTATCATGTTTCGGAGGAACGATCCAGCCATCAATAGTAGTTAATTGTTTGCAACCAACAAACCGTAATTCAGAGTCAAGTGGAGAGAAGCCGCTTGATCGGGATATTCCTAGTTATGTTGAGAGCAACTACTACCTAAACTTTAACTACTGTATATTTTGCGTGTCATACATCATTGTGGAAACAAGGACAGGGCAAGTCTTCTTGGCTTCTGCTCCCTCCATGAGGGGTTAAGGAGCCTGATGAAATGAATGCTGTAAACGCTCCTTTTCTTGTGTTCTGGACAACTGGCTATCATAACTGGCTATGTTCATCTTTGTCCAGACAGGAGATGAGAGCAGTGGAGTCCTCATAAAGTGGGACTTTGCATAAGTTCTCTGGCCTAATCAGTTTCAATCACTTGAATCCATTCATGATACTTCCAGGACCACCGACCATCTTGTACATGTAGGGCATCCTGAGCAACTATGACCAACTTGCTTGTTGTTCTTTCATAGATATGCATAGTCCTGAAGGACTTTGTATGCCATGGATGGATACCCAAAATCCAACTTCATACAATTTCACTTTTGAGTACCGGTACATGCATGATAGATTGCCGCAGTTCCAGAACCACCTCCTGAATCGGATCATGTCAACCAAGAATACATAATCACTCACTCCATACTAGTCTAGCATGATCCAAGGGTTTGGATGCCCTCCACCAGATGCTCATTTGTAATTTTGTCAAATGTTGGATGGGAATGCCAGTAGCTTGTGCTTGCCTTGAGTGCAATGCCCAGCGAGGAGGAGTGCCATTGCTTGTGTGAATTGAAGCAAGTTCCTGTCGCATTGAGGCAGGTATCATACTAGCACCAGGTGGTACTGGTACCGGTTCCGGTACCTGGTACCGTACCGGTACAGTCGTACATCCCTCGCCCTGATCACAAACAAGCTAATTTGAAGGCTCTGCTGGATTAAACTTTCCCACCTCACTCACCTCGGCACAGGCTCGCTCGAATATTCTTTTCTTCTCATTTCTCATTCGTCAACAACCAACCAATGAGTGCAGTGTTCCTTCGCCTTGTCCCCTTCTTGTCCACGAAAGCAGACAAGAACGCATTTCTCGGCCAGCAAACAGTTTTCGTGGAAGTCTGGCTGGCTAGAGCCATTACTGCTTTGGACCTGTCTGTGGATGCTTGATCAAGGGAGGTAGTTGCGGAGAAGTAGCTAGAGATAAAGCAAGAAAGCAAGCGAGAGAAGTGATACGTGCTGTAGCTCAAGAAGAAGACGACCAAGAAGATGAATGGCAATGGCCACATCCCACAATCCCTGCACCGAGCATCGTCGTTTGGAACCAATGCGGTGGTCCGAGCTACCGAGGGATGGCTCGAGTTGTTCCTAACGCCCCACGAGAAACTCACGTTTAGTCAGTGGAAAGAGAAGATCAAGGACAAGTCGTTGACCAAGCACTTGACGAGTCCTCTCTTTGAATACTTGGCGTACAAGTACATTCCCGACACGGTGGCTCCGAATGTGGTGACGCTCTCTGGATTTTTGATACTGGGCCATGGCTGGTATCTGACCAATCTCTATGGCGATTACTATCCCACGTCCTGCACGTGGGTGGCCGTCCTTTCCATTGTGCTATTTTTTGCCACAACCTCTATGGAAGGATTTCATACCGATCGCATTCGACAACGCACGCCGCTTGGAGAACTCTTCAAATACAGCTGCGATTCCTGCGCCACGGTTTTCTTGGTCTTGTTGACTACCTATTGTTTGGGAGGAACATCGATAGAAACACAGTGGAATGCCGTACAAGCCTCGCAATTGATTTTGTTTTACAAACATTTATCGGCGTTTCATCGAAACGCTGGATTGCGATACAACGTCTTCACAGGACCCGGTGATGTCATTGTGGTGTGCATCTGTCTGCTCTCCATTCGAGGAACACTGGGACTCGATTGGGTATTGACTGTCTATGAGAGCACGGTGCGCAATTTTATACGACACCTCATCAATGTGGGACGCGCCAAGGAAGAAAAAATGGAAAAGTACCTCGACAATCCCAGGCAGGTCGCCAGTGAAATTGTACAGGCGTTCTATTACGCCATGTACGTGCTGGCCGTGACCAAAACACTATTGTTGAGGTCTCCGCATGGATGGAGTCGTTTTGGCCTCAGCAGCAGTCTCCTCATGAGAATTGTTCCCGCCATTCTCATTCACTTTGGCTTGGAAGGTGAAACCAAGGTGGTCGATGTTGTTTGTGACGGGTTCTTCATGGCCGTGCTGACCAGTGATGTGACGTTGGCCAAAATGGCAGGACGAGAAATTCATCCCTGGGTCGTCTTGATGAGTATGGCTGCCGTGCTGAGTCATACCACGATTTTGGCATTGGTCTTTGTATACTATATTGCTGTCTTTGCGGATCTGTGCTTCTACATGAACATGCCGCTCTTTAGTACTTGTCGAAATGGTACGTGCAGAATTTTACAAAAATTGGAGCACTTTTGAATGCCAATTCTTGTTTCCATTCTGACATTTCCCGCTTGCATTGTTTGCTTGCAAAAAGTCTACTGCGACGGTGTCTACGACCTTTGTCATGTGGGGCACAAGGTTCTCTTTCAAAACGCACTGGCGTATGGTAATCGGTTGTATGTGGGAGTTGTGGGCGATGAAGATGCCAACAATTACAAACGACCACCCATCATGACCCATGCCGAACGATGTGCCGAAGTCCAAGGATGCAAAGCAGTGACCAAAGTCATCCCCAATGCGCCATGTTTCGGATTGACCGAAGAGTTTCTGGAACTGCATCAAATTCACGTCGTGGCATTTGGGGAGGAATATTTGGATCGCTATCCAGATCCCAAAGATGATCCCTACTACCGCGTTCCACGCGAAATGGGTATTGCAAAACCCTTGCCGAGGACCAAGGGTTTGTCCACGAGTGATTTGATTCGGCGTATTCAGAAAGCACAGCCCAGTGATGAAAAGAAGAGTCCCACGTAATCATCCTCATGAAGCGAGTGCTTCAGCGGCCAAGTGCTGTTGGGCTGCAATGTTCTACTGAAGTGAAGAACACTTGTGACAGCCAATTTTATTTGTGATTTGTTCCTCCGAAAAGTCTGCTTTCCGTATCAATTTGTCTGCACCTTGTTCTGCACAACTCCACAAGCATCGTTACTGTGTACCGAGGGTTGCAATATGTAAACTAGACCAACCAAGTAATTCCAAAAATGCTACTAGTAGCTAGAGCAGAAGCGAAATAGATAGGCCGATGACAGCAGAGCACAAAGTGGAGCCATCCGTTCCCTTCATTTGATTGAGTACTAGCTTTCGCAGAAATCTAATTGAACATAGCTAAAACACTGCTTGGAAAAATGATGTTGGAAGAGATCTAAATTAGTCTTTTTAGTAATATAGTATAACAAAGCAGCAGTTTATTTCATCTTGTCAGCGTTGGAGTTGGGTCCCACTCGCTTTCCTCCCATTCCAGTGACAACATTGACATAACGACGATTGTACTGCAGGCGCTTCTTGGCGCGGCCTCGTGGCAATTTCTTCTTGTCTTCTTGGGCTTCCACCTTGGGTGTCTGTCCTTTAACCTTTCCGGCACGAGCGAGAGATCCGTGAACCTTTCCCATTGTGGATTGTTTGTATTCTAGTAGTGGATGAAAAAGACTAAGAGAGAAAAACCTGTAATAGTCAAAACAACAAAATCGGATTTGTGAGAAACGAAAACAGACTTGTTGAATCAGACACCGGCAAGCTCGAGCGGATGCCAATCATGCACTGAGCCTCAGCGTACGAACAATCGATGGATGGGGGCATGTTTCAAACGAAATCGAGGTACCACGGAGGTGGCAACGTGGTTGTAGCTACATGATACCCCCATTGCCACCACCCTGCCACACCTGAGCTATCATCGTTCCAACGATCCAACGTAGCGGCGGGAAAACATCAAAACGCTGGACGGGCGTCGCCATGGTCAAACTCACCAACAGTTTTCAAGTTGTTGTCTCGTCTTCTTGCTGCCGCTGTGCTGTGCCTCCAGTTACTTTTAGTAGAGCGATAAGCGTTCATGAGACGTGCACGTCCACTCATTCTTCATCACAGGGCAGAAGGCCAGACGTCGAAAGACAATTGATCGAATCAATCGATGATCATTCGAATGAATCGCCAATCGAATCGAATCGAATCCCCAGTTGACGAACAACGGTGCTGCGGACGCGTAGCGTGGGCCATGGGTTGAGAACGCATTCTGGGAACCCTCTTCACAACCAACTCTACCCGGCCACTGCGATGCATTCTAAAAACCATTCAGGGATTCAAGGGTTCTCGGTACCGGTACTAGTATGATGACGGCTAAAAGCAAAACAAGGTACCGTCATCACTCGTTTCCAGGTATTCGGCCAGTATGTGCGATCTGAAACCATTGAAGGATTCTGGTGGCCGCTCCTGACATGAAGATCCTCGTTTTTTGCTTCCCTAGACACAAAACATCTCACAATCAACAGAAGGCAAAAACCAAACGAGCAAACTACGAACAAGCAAAAACAAAACCTTTTACTCTCTCGTTTCAAAACCATGACGAATACTACCACCACTTTTGATTTCGAGCTCCCCTTCTTCTTTGACACCAGGACTTTGGAAACTGATTACTACATTGGATTGGCTAATGAGTTGGCAGACTGGAAAAGCATTCCCTGGCGCATTGAAATGAAGGATGTGGTCTATGCGTTGACCAACTTTTATGGTGCTTATGTGTTTTTCTATCAATACCAACCACAGGGTTTGCTGAAGCAACTCATGGCTTATGCCTGTGCGATTGGTCAGCTCGGTGGGATCATGTGGCACTTGACCAGTGAATCCATTGATGACTTGGTGTTTGTTCAAATGACAGTCTTTCCAATTGTCTTCTTTCTCTTTGATGCCCTCTTGACAAGCCCAAAGCCTCAAAAATACCTCCTTCTTTTGACCAACTTGTTGCTGTATGTAGTGGATATGCAAAGTCCACCATCCAGTGAACCAGGATTTCACACCGTTCACATTGCAACCCACCTCATCAAGACTGTTTGGCACTACCAATTGATCGGACTCCAGGATGCGCGTCCGCTGGGAACTGCTGGTGGCAAGAAAAGGATTTAGTACTAGTAGGCAGAAGTGTATAAGTTGAGTGGACGGCAGCCGAGGAGGTGGAGAAGAAGGTCGTCAGGCTGAAAAAGAGGCGGCAGGAACTCTCATGCGGTTGCATTGTGATTCACCGGGACAAAGTGCCTCTCTGCTTCCCTGCCACTAATAATAGACATCAAATGAAATAATCTTACTAAAACTACAAGGTGCAACATGTTTGCAAGAAACAGAAAAGCCCTTGCTGCCATGGCTAATGCAGGCGAACCAAGCCTCTCGCAACTGCTTCACACCAAGCTGGAGCCACAGAACATGCACATCTCGTCTGTGTAGTGAACCTTCGCATGAGGTAAGAGATCCTCCTTTATGGAGTCATTCTTTGTGGCCGGCACGATCTGTGAGAAGCAGTTTGTTTGCTGTCCGCATCAAAGATAGATGTCAGAGCCCGGAGGTTCACATTGGGCACATTGCAAGCAATCACCTCAGTTTGGCGGTGACTTCAAGCAACTTCACACAACAAGCTGCTTCAAAGCCCACCTTCTTGACTCCTGATACTTGTGGCCTGGCCCTAGCTACGGTACCGGTAGGCTGCTACTGCTAGTTCAAAATGTGTGATAGGTGTCACTGAGAAGAGTTGGCCCACAAATCGGAGTTGGTTGCTCGCGTGAAGGCATCACAACCTACATTATGCGCCCGAGTTCAATGTAGAGTTGCTGCCAGGAAGTATTGGTGCGTACATGTACATTCTAAGTTGTATTACTAGCCGGCAGCCCCAGTAACTTCCGAGAACGGTGAAAAGTGGTTTCCTCTCATGTTGACTGCTGGGAAATCAGAGGTGTGCAGTTAAAGTCGGTGGCTGCTAAAGAATCATGATTCCGCCGAGCAGGATCGAATCCTGTCTCTGTTGGAGAGCGATCTCCGATGTCTGTGGCTGCCGTGGCTCTTTTGGAAGCCTTAGTCGAGGATGGCTGGGTCAATTCAGACTGCCAGTTTGGAGATCGTACACGTAGCTTGTCTTCTAACCATTGAAAGTCAGGGGGGGGGAGGTCGCCGCAGGATCTCGATATGTCTCGATGGCATGGAACACTGCCCGACGCCGTACACGGGAACGGGATCATCCCAGCTGGGGTACCATTGTTCGAGATTTCGGTGGCAAAATGACAACCTCGAAGATTCGACTGTGCCACAAGCAAAAGCAAGAGTCGAGTCGAAGCCCCTAAGATATTAAAAGCGTGAACTAGGAATTTTGTGTTCCCCGTTTCCACCAAGGTCCAGGCCGAAAAAGAGCCCCACTGGACCCCTCAATTCGATTGGATCTTTCCCTTGTCTTCCCGCAGCAGGCAGGGTTCCCCCGGGTTGGGCTGATTGATTCGTCCGGTAGCTAAAACCAGAATCCACAAAATGAATACCATCTCATGGAATAGCATGCTGTTCAATAAAAATCTGCAGCTCTTGACAATGTTCCTTGATAATCATCTTAGTACAGCTGTACGACGTACAGTCGATGATGGGATGAAGCAACCTAGGAAGAAAGCGGCAGGCTCTTGCGGGGCGCGAGCGACTCCCGAGAAGATTCATTCTCATTACGTGAGGAAACTGCACCAAGCACAAGTAAAAGTCGCGACTTTACTGCTTGGCTCAGCTGCATGCAATTGGGTGGTTTCCAGTTTCCAGAGACATGAGCTTGGAAAGAAAAGGAAGACGACTGCGGCTGTACAGCACGGCTGCAAGCAATATCGCGAGCTGCCTTTGCATCAAAGAAAGGGGTACAATCCTCCCATTGATTGCAAATAATACCCCATCTTTACGTCTTTCACTGCGATGCGACGCGACGCGACGCGACTCGATGCTCCGTTACTCAGATGAGCTCAGCTTGGTTCCATAATACTATTTAAAAAAAATAGTACTACGCCTTCGATTCAATTGGCCACAGGGCTCCACTCAAGAATTCAGGGCTCCTCTCAGAAATTGGCGGGCTGGGAAGAAATTCCGAGTTGCCCTGTAGAGCTCTGGTACTGAATTCTACAGAGGCACAAATCGGAACTAAGCTCCATAATCTGAGGCGTTATTTCGCGCGGGCGACACACCGGAAGGAATGGAGAAACGGCTAGCATTAACCTTAAAAGAAGAATGTCCTCTAAGTAAATCTCCTCTGAATTTTCTTCGGAGCCCTCGAATTCCTGAGAGAGCCCCTCGAATTTGCTTCCGGAGAGCTTTTGGCCAATTGAATCCGAAGGCGTAGTATTACGGCCTCGGATTGAATTGGCCAGAATGGGCTTGGGAAGAAAATTGGGGGTGCTGGGAAGAAAATCAGACTGCCCCTGTAGAGCTGTGGTACAGTCTCTACAGAGCCACAAATCCGAACCTCCACGGAATCGGCTGGAAAATTCGATGGTGTCGCCCGGCGCGCATAATCCCAAACAAAGGAAAAGGTCTTTAAGTAAATTTGACTCGAATTTCTTCCCACCCCTTGAATTCTCTTCCCAGCAACCCTCAATTATTCTTCCGAGCCCATTTGGCCAATTCAATCCGAGGCCGTAGTATATCGCCCAATATTATTTATTTCATAGCTTTCACATTTATTTATGCATTTATTTATGCCATTCGATCGATCTTGGTTGGTAATTACTGTCGGAATTCCGGATTACTGGCTACTTACGGTACGATTCCGGAATTCTATAGAACAACCGTAATGGTAACCGTAAAACGTCACCGGAATTAGAGGCATGCACGATTCCTGCGGAATTCCTAGGATTCCGGTGGATTACTCCGGAACTCCGGTATCCGTACCGGTACATGACATGCAGCATCAACTCTCGCGGCCTGCATTATTTGCTGGCTTTTTTCTAGCAGCAGGGTAGCACGTCTTGGAGCTACCAGTATCAAACTCTAGAATAGATCTGCCCTACACGTACCGATCCGTAGCATCTGCGGTGAGATACATACGCTACAGCATCAACTCTTGCAGCCTGCTTATTTGCTTGTTTTACTAGCAGCAGGGTAGCATCTCTTGGAGCTACCGTACTGGTATGGATCATTCAAACTACAATAGTCGTGCAGGTACCGGTATGGTGCGGGTACCGATAGAGGTGCAAGATCTGCGGTGAGATGACATAGCATGACAGCATCAACTCTTGCAGCCTGCTTATTTGCTTGGTGTTTACTAGCAGCAGGGTAGCACTCTTGGGACCGTACTGTATGCTATCATTCAAACTACATAGATCGTGCAGGTACCGGTAGGTGCGGACCGTAGAGGTGCAAGATCTGCGGTGAGATGACACTAGCATGACAGCATCAACTCTCAGCCTGCTTATTTGCTTGTTTTACAGCAGCGGGTAGCATCTCTTGGGCTCCGTACTGTATACATTCAAACTAAATTCTGCAGGTACCGTAGCCCGATAGAGGTGCAAGATCTGCGGTGAGATGACACTAGCATGACAGCATCAACTCTCACAGCCTGCTTATTTGCTTGCATTTTACCAGCAGCGGGGTAGTAGCTCTTGGAGCTTCGTACCGTATCATTCAAACTATCTGCATGTCGCACTGAGATACCTACTAGTGACAGCATCAACTCTCGCAGCCTGCTTATGTGCTTGCATTTTACCAGCAGCAGGGTAGCACCTCTTGGAGCTAGCATCATTCAAACTACTAGATCTGCTGCACCGTCCCCAGTAGAGGTGCAAGAGTTAGGTGAGATGACACTCGCATGACAGCAGCAGCAGCAGCAACTCTCGCAGCCTGCTTATTTGCTTGCTCTTTACTAGTAGCAGGGTATCACCTCTTGGAGCTACCGGTACCTGTACCGTATCCTTCAAACTAAATCTGCCGTGTCCGTACCATAGAGGTGCAAGGCACTGTACGAAACCGAGTGATCGACTCATCAATGCGACGGAAGCCACCAGCACGAAAACCGCACCACGGAGAAGTGTTGTCACCGAAAGAGGAGCTAGATATCAAGTTCCAACAGAACGAGGAAGATATACCCAGAGGTGCTTCAGTGGGAAGTACATACCGGTGCTGTAGCCTCACTATCAGGCTATCAGGTCATCGAATCAGTGGCTGCTCATAGAGGAAAGGTGTATGCACCAGGAGCAAACAAGGAATTCACGCACAATACGCCACAAGGGCTCTAGGAAGCTTCACTGCCTCCTTTGGTGTAGCTGAATTGCCACCAATGTTGCCTCTAATGGTGGCCTTGTTGTCTCTTGTTTAGCCTAGTACCTGAAATTACTGCAGTAATTCCTGTGTAAACAGTAATTCCTTTACTTTTACTGCCATTGGCACTAGCTAGGATTACTGACCTATATTACTTTTACTGAGTAATTACTGCATTACTGCAATTACTGCTACTTTTTGGCCCCTCCACACAGTAAGTAATAACAGTAAATACCAACCAAGCGATCGATCATTCGATTCATTCCAGAGAACTCCACAGCAGACCACAGAGCACATCGTCTAATTGACAACTGTCTGACAAAAAAGTGCCTCGCGAATAAAGGAAAAGAGAGTTTTATGCTTTTTTCATTGCGTGAATAGAATAATCTCAATTCTTACAGTCGTCCTTAGGGCATAGTTTCTCTTCCCCTACAGCTGTTATGCACCGATCCGATGATCGAGTGGGCGACGGTCGGGTACTAGTACGTGTACAGTACCGGTACCAGTTAGTTCAGTACTCGAGTACCATAATGTACTGTATGTATTGAGCATGAGTGGTACCGTGGTACCTCGCTGGTATTAACCAAAAAATCCCTGGTGACGAAGCGGATTTTTGCAAAAATCCTTGCGGGAAAGTGATTTCCTTCCACACTGGTACCACCAATCACCCAAATCGATCATTCAACATTCAACCATCGACTCCAAAGCAAGCTGAGCATCCTTTGATTGCAAGTTCTTGAGAAGTTGTCATATTGCTTCATTGAGATCTGCCTCACAATCTCGGACACAGACAAGTACCAACACAGCCAGAGCACCAAAAATCATCATGCCTTCTATCTTTATGAACGATAATGTGGAACTCCGACAGAAGATGATTCCACAGAATGGTATCTCCAAGCTATCCTTCTACCTCAGCTGTGCCACCAAGGCATGTGGGTTGAATATCATCTCCGACTGGAAACTGCTAGACTTTCAAAGAGCCCACAAGCGAAGAAGGACACGACAAGAGGAAATTTTGAGGTTGGCAATCTCAGTGCATGACATCAGGACCTTTCTCAACAAGACAATCTTTGTTGTTGCAGACGATCATGAGCTCCTCAAGAGCGGCGCTTGCTCGAACCTTTTCTGCAGTCTCGACTCGATTGCTTCGGCGCTCGGTGTCGAGGTGAATTCCCAAGTTACCCTTCGCAAACACAACGTCAAGGTCGACAAGGCCATGGTTTGCAGTAAAGGCTGGTTGGACGAATACTATTATGGTCCACTCAAAGTCAATCGAGTTCGACTCGCTGGGATCCTCAGTGGTGGTGACGAGCCCTCTCGTGCGGCCATTATGCTGGTCCAGTCGATGTTGGGCCGCCTCGAGATCGAAAGTAAGCATTGCGAACATTGCCGAGGACTTGACGGTGGAGCATGTTCCTGCACTGAAGGTTGTTCCCGTTCGGCGCACAGCCAATGTCGAATGGTGAGCATTGGCTGCAACGGTTGCCGCCAACGAATCCAGCCTGGAACAGCCGCCAGGTTCCAATGCACCACCTGTGACGACTGTGACTTGTGCCAAGAATGCTACAATGATGGAGTACACGATCAAACCCATGCCTTTCGCTGTATCTCTCGTGCAGGATGCTTGTCTGTGGTGCTTGGTCCTCGCCTGCAAGTGGTGGGGCCAACCATCAGCCAACCGTTTTATCCAGGCAAACAGTTGCCTCATCAGTGTCTTCCCTGCACGCCCCTGGATCAGCCGGAAATCCCCACTGCCATGGCCATTCCAGCTGGTAGTAAAGCAGAAGAACAAGAAGAAGCAGAGCAGCCTGGTACCGGACATCAAGAGTCACGCTTGAAGGACGCTGCCGATCCAGCCCAAGACAAGGTCCTGGATAAGAACATCATCGAGGCAATGTGCATGATTGTGGTCACCCCAAGAATCAGTGAAGTCACTGATACGATTCCGGTCCAGCTTTTGGATGAAAAAGTGATCAAAGTTGGACCGGAGAACTGCCAAGTAGTTGAGCAAGTGTCTTAATTTAAAAAAAGATGAATAACCACGCAGTTCTGCCACAATAGAAACGAAAGAATAGAAACAATCCCCTCGTACTGTACAAGCTACCTGCCTAACGTTGCTTCTGCCTGCAGCATAGGCAACGTTGGAAGAGTCAACCAGCCATCTTCTAGTTACTGGTACGTGGATGCTACCGGTAGGTTAAGCTTGGGGATCGGATGTTGCTGTATGCAGGCCATGAGTTGGTGCCGTTGTGTCAAAAAAGAAAGCACCCAGACTGGTGCTTGAATTCTGGTTGCCCAAATGCATGCGCTTCTCCCTACCAGTACACCTACATGTACCGTAGGAACCAGGTACCTCTATTTGATAACATATGCTTGGATGGATATTCGAAGCTTGGTCGACCTCCTCACTACTAGCTAGGGCTAGCAGACCAGCGAGAAAGCCACTGCTACAGAATCCAGCAGACCCCGTTGTTACTAGTGCCTATCTAGATTTGACAGAAGTGGCAACAAGCACTAACGTTACCGATTGTCAACTTGTTGCCAAGAGCCAGGTACTAATAAAAATAGGTTCGTCAGCAAACCTCTCGGACGCTGAGCTCTTTACATTAGCAATGGATAGTACAGTACCTATTTGACTGCCCAATCTCCACTAGCTAGCTTGTTGTGTGCACTGGCTGGCACCCAGGTTCCTCCTGTTTTAGAGAGCCACCTAGGCATCACTTTTGTCTGGAAACCAGAGCAAAATTTCGTATTGTCGCTTCAAGATATTCAGCAAAGAGAATCATACCTGCAATACAGTAATCCGCTCTCCTTCTCATGGTCACATTTTGATAGCAAGGGCTGACCTTCGATCCGCCTGTAATCATGATGATGTTGGTAAGTCAGTATTCAAGAGTAGGCAGAATCGACATGCAAGGGCACAGTTGGAAAGCATGAATATTCTGTTGGATTCACATTCGCCTATTTCACAAACAAACAAGCAAAGGGTTGAGCCATCAGGGAAACCTGAGCATTGATTGAGAGCAGGAAAAGCGACCAACAACAAACGCACCAACAGCTACCCAAAAGGCGCATAGTTCGTTTAGGTTTTTACTGAAATCAACGAAAAGGATCCAAACCGAGCAGAAGCAAGTAAGTGATGAATCGATGAGTCAATGAACCGTGCAACAACAAAAAACATCCCGGTTGGAAATTGCAAAAAGGACAAGCATGCCCATTCATAATAATAAAAGAACCATACGACATAAATGACATACCATCGATTTCGCGCACTGGCATATTCTGGATGAGACAGCACTTCATGGATAAAATAATGCTCCATTCGTTCCAACACATCCCGAATGGCTTGTTTTTCCGATTCCGTTCCATCGATCCGTTGGCTGAGACCCAGATTATATCGCCCCGTCTGTTCGCCGGTTGTTGGGTCCACTGCTTGCGCCAACAGTAACGGATCGTCCGTGCATTGATGCTCGTCGACCCCTGTGGTACTCGAGGGAACGGCAACGCAAGATCGAGCTTGACAACATGGGATGCAGAATGACAACAGCAGTATTAGTGCCAGCGTTCCTACTAGAAAATGTGGTCGTCTTGGAGATATTCTTGGACGGGGCATCATTTAGTTTTACTGTACTGTACAGTACAGTGCTGTATTGTAGGGATGACAGGAAGGCCACTCTATTGGACGTTGGCCTTGGCCTCTTGCTTTTGGTTTTGGAAGCTGTTTTGTGTGTGCGGCACTCTCCCGAGCCCAATTCCTAAGTACAGTAGAGTTAGGATTATGCGGACCTACGAAAGAGGTTCTTTTCCATCAATCCGCAACACATTCACAACAATGGTGCATGGCACCTGAGCCGAATGCACGGAACAGCATCGCAACAGTACATCCGCTCATCCATAAGCACAAGCGCAACATAGCGTACTCGAGGACTGGTTAGTGGAGAGCCTCTGACGACAATTTACGGGGCTAGCTAGCTACTAGACGAACTCGTGATTTTTCGAATTTCGGGAACAATTCAGTCGTTGGAGCATCCAGCGACGTCTCGTCCAACCAGAAGGAGGACTTGTATTATTGTATTGACTGAGGGCAATGAGTGTCAATGATAAACCTGACGTAGGGGAGAGAAAGGAGGAGGTAGAAAAAGCGGACGATTTGCTGAGGTTTCAGGAAGAGTTGGGTTCTCTGTGGACTGTTATAGACGAGGAGGTCGTATTTGTCAAGGAGGTTGGCGTGGGAGTCATTAGCAGGGCGAGTTCTACTGGAGACGACGCTCGCAGCAATACGTCGACAACGTCCGTGATGGGTTCGTGGTGTCTGACGGAGTTGGAGGAAGAGGAAACGAAAGATGATGCGACGACGGAACAAGCCAATCACTCATCAGACGTGAATTCGAATGGAGCGGATACTACTACCGGTACAACGATCGATGGCAAGCCAGGACGCACCATCAAGCACGTGGAGGACCAAAGTGGCCGCGTGGAAGGAAGCAACAATGAGGTTTTTGAGGAAGTGCTTGTCGAAGATGACGAGGAGATAATTGAGGATGATGCAGTTGAGGAAGTTGTCATCGAAGAACAGGATGAAGAGGAACTTGTGGAGGAGGAGGTTGAGGCAGAAGAGTCGGAATATGCCGATCAAGTGGTGGAGAGATGGAATGAGGTCATTGAGGAACAACCGGAGGACTTGGAGGCGGCTGTTTCTGGCCTCATAGCAGTCGTTTACAAGGACAAAGACGTAGACATTGAGAATATGCTCAGGAGGACGCGACTCCCTGACCTTTACAAGTATTTGAAGAGCCAATATTGGTACAAGATTCATACCAACCAAGAGGAGGAGGCGTCACTGGCTGCTAAGCTTAAATATGAGAAACCCTCAGAGTTAGTCAGTGTTGATGACATGCTCAAAGGCAGAATGGAAAGCCTCATTGCGAATGTCCAGCGGATGGACCCATCTGAACGGCGGTCATCAGTTGTTATCCCGGTCGACAAGAATGCCAACGAAAGCGTGCGAAGAGAGAGCCGTATGCAAAACTTAATCGACACCATCCAGATTAGTTCTCGAAACTTGGTCGCAAAGGAAAAGAAGGTGGCAGGCAACAGCAACAATATGCTTGGCTCGAACCGTGAAGCAGAAAAAGATGTCAATATCGTCCACAAGCTGTTGTCGGAAGCAAGGGACGTCAAGGGAAGTCATCATGTGGCAAAGTACTACGAAAAAGCAGTCAACAACAGGGCACAGCGGTACCTACCAAAGTCGCAGCCTGATGGACAGGGAAGAAGTTCCCCGACACCAGAGTCTGAAAACCCCGTTAACGGAAGTTCCAATGATGGCTGTGACGAGGGGGCACAGGCGAAGCAAATTGAAGATTATGTACACGTTCAACCAGATGAAACTTCCGGGGAACCTGATCCTTTAGTTGCATCAGCGACAGAACCCAACAATTTGGCAGAAGGAACCAATACCCAAGGTGAAGCCGCCCTTGCCGTACCTGATTCAGATGAATCCAAAAAGGTGGTAGATGTGATTGGTGATCATGCTGCCGTTGCCGGCAACGACGCGGAAGTGATCCGTGAAAAGGAGAAACACGATACTGTTGAAGGACGGCAAAACAATGATGTTGTCGAGGATGCTACTGGTACAACGAGCGATAGCAAGCCACGACGAATCATCGAGCACGTAGATGCAGCCTTACACCCTCTACTTGTCAGGCCTGCTGTGTCACCTCCTTCGAGGTACGCATCTCCGTCCGCTCAATCTTCCAAGAGTTACTCCCCACCGCCACTGCTGCCCCCCGTTCTGGAGCAGCAGCTCGCAGCTGTAACCAGCGCCAAGAGAGGTCTCCAAGGCAAGGCCAAGGCACCCACAAGTCAGCCGCGTGATCAAATTATATCCAGTGGGTCATCACCAACAACAGTCCAGAATCAACAAAACCATCTCACAGAGGAACCCTTGGAAAAGGACAGAACCCATCAGCCAGTGGACGACCCGCCACCCGCGTCGCCGCCAGGCCATGCTGCGTTGCCAGGCAACAGAACGCATACATCTGGAACAGAAACTGAAAGCACAGCTGGACAACAACAAAGCCAGGGTATGGAAGAAGCTGTGAAAAGGAGAACCCAACCAACCCAGATCGACAACAACGTTGTGGCGACTCCTCCGGTACCATCGAGTCCAATTCCTGTGTCGGATAAAGCAGCAGGGGACAAGAAACCTCATCATCAAAATTACAATCCATCACCAGCGAGTCGTTCGTGGCTCGAATTGGAACAAAATGGCACCCACGATGGGTCGAGTCCTGCGGTCCGAACGAAGTCAAGGCCAGACAATGCGGACACGGCGTCGCTAGTAAAATTACATGCCGAATCCAGAGAACCGAGGGCAAACAACAACAACTCGTTGCCAGTTGACAATGCCACGATTGCCTCTGCGGCTGGAGAAGATACGGTGGCATCGTCCCAAAACTTTACTGCATCCTCGTCATTGAATTACACGATGACAACTAGTTCCGCCGCCGCGTCGTCCTCAGAACAAGAGAAGAACCTTGGGCTTAACGGGTTGTATGTCGGAAACCACCCTCCTCACGAGATGGTTCACACGCAGTCCATGTCCGGATCTAATCATGGAATTCCAAAGTCAATGGAGTTGACGCGTCAAGGCGGTGCTCACAATTTGAACAATTCGACAGTTGGGGGCACTGGGTTGGCCAGACAAGAGGGGTTGCATCATTTGAAGGCTCCCCCGTTGCCGACGCAAGATATCCCTCCTTGTGCGACACTGCCAGGAGGTGACTCGGTGGGTAGTAGCGCTGCTGAACCTCCATTGATCAGCAATAGTAAGCTCAGATCTCTTTATGGAAAATCCGCACCTGCTGTTGTGAAACAACCACGCGGCCATCCAGTTATCCGCCCCGGAGGCAGAGGATTACGCCGGGATCCTGTCAAGCAAGCAAACGCCGGCATGAGCCACAGTCACCACCACGCTACTAGAGCGGGCGATATCCAGCCGATGAGAAATATGGGGGCAGCTACTCATCATGTCAGGAGCGCGACTACGAGGGGTCACTGGAGGGGACCGCCAATAAGCGTTGAAACAAGAATGTATGCAGAAAAAGCCAATCACTATCAAAAAAGCCAGAGGCTCAGAGAGATGGAACGGAATTTGCAAAAGGAGCTGGTGAAAATCAAGCTTGAAAAGGAACGACACCAAAAGCAACAGCAATTGGCACAGTTAAAGAGGCAGCTACCAGAAGGAAAACCCAAGACTGCAGAGAGCGACGACGATGACCTTGACTTCTCGCACATGGGTTCCGAGTTGGGAGACGACAGCATCGTGCACTCATCGAGTTTTAGGCTCATGTCGAAGGTCCTCACAAATCAACGAAGGCCCTCCGATTCCAGTCTGGACCCTTCAGTCGGGAAGGGCGCTTCCGGAGGGGCGAGACGACGGAGCAGCATAATGGGGAAACCTGTGGGCGCAGATCCCGCCTTCCGACCATCAGTTTCTGAGCCCAGAGCTTCGATTCCTCCAAAAAGCGGTCATGGTGGACCAACGACGGCAGCTCGGGGGAGACTGGGTGCAGTTCGAAGGGGTTTGCACAATGCCCGATCGCAACATATCATGAAAGCTACCGCTACTATCCAGCAACAATCTCAGCGGTCAGGCCTGTCTTCCATCACAATGGGTTCTGACGCTATTAAGGAAGCTGTCGACAAGGTAACTGAACGGCCTGGCTTGGTGCGCCCCCGTATGGTGATGCTTGAGAAACAGCTCTCCACAACGAGCAGCATTGGGTACGATTCGGTTTCCAACCGGGCATTGGATGTTTCGGCTCATTTAGCAGCGGAATCTGAGGCTGGAAACATAAATCCCAGCAGCCCCGAAGACGCTTCCCACTTGCAGTCTCCTGCTGATTGTGCGAGCGTGAGCTCAGCAAACAAGTCGAGGACTGCCCTGGACGCAACAAGCGCAGTTTCTCCTCCAACACGTGAAGATATGGAAAAGAAGCGTCAGATGCGTGCTTCCGTGATGGTACCTCCTGGAACACGAAGGCCGAGTCGGCGATCGATATCGGTAACCGCAGATGCCACGTCGGTGGCCTCGTCTCGCATCTCCGTAGCAGGGCCGATACCACGTCGAACCTCTCGAACCTCGAACACAAGTGCTGGTTTAAGGCGACGTTCAACCGTCGGGTCAGTTGGTGGTTCGATTAGTGGTTCGATTGGTGGTGACTTGCAGGTACAAGGAAGAAGCAACCCCTTGGATCCAACAATCCCGGTGCCGAAAGGCGTGAAAGAGTATTACAAGAAGAAGCTGAGACAAGAACTTGAAAAGAAAAGTGGCCAAGGATGGGATAACATTCTGCAGGTTCAGAACGATATTGTCATGGAATTAGCCTGCGAGATGTCCAAGTTGGACAACGAAAAACAAGTGCAAGCGCAACAGCAGTTCCCTTTGCAAGTTCAGAAAAACCTCTCTGGGGCGCCTGACTCGGCTGGCCATGATGACGATGCCAACAAACCAAAACAACCGCAAATACCACAGCAACTTTTGGAACGTCTGGTACCGGCGGGTCCACATCCCGATCAGCGGCAAAGTTGGGTCGGTAGTACTAGTACGACACAAGTAGAAGTCAACAGCATTTCCGAGACCGCCTCAATTGACGCGGCGTTAAGGCTTGCGTTGGCGGAGTCCAGGCAACAACAAACGAGCCAGCCATCGCCTTCATCAGAGGCGGAGTCAATGGATGCTGCACTGCGGCTTGCGATAGATGTGTCTAGTCAAGATTCTCCACTTGCGATTACGCGCGAAGACGACCAGATGGATCAAGCCTTGCTTGTGGCTATCGAAGAATCCAACAGAGCAAGAGCCCCCCAGCCCTCACCGCAGTCAACACCTCATGAGAAGGATCGAGCGTTGGAAATAGCGTTGCAAATGTCGCTTCAGGAGGCACGTGAGAATGATAGGATCCGAAATGCTGGTCAAGCGTATCAAGAGTTGGTGGATTCACCCGCTGCAATTGAGCCTCAAACGCCGGCGCAACACACCGCCACATCACCTGCCTTGCTCGTGGCTATTGAGGAATCCAACAGGGTAAGAGGCCCCCAGCCCTCATCACAGTCAACATCACATGAGAAGGATCGAGCGTTGGAAATAGCATTGCAAATGTCGCTTCAGGAAGCAAGTGAGAATGATAGAATCCGAAGCACTGGTCAGACTTATCAAGAGTTGGCGGATTCACCAGCTGCAACTGAGCCTCAAACACTGGAGCCACAGGCTGCCTCGTCAGCTGCCTATAGAGCAAGTGGCCCACAACCCTCATCACATGAGAAGGATCGGGCTTTGGAAATAGCATTGCAAATGTCGCTGCAGGAGGCACGTGAGAATGATAGGATCCGAAACGCTGGTCAAACTTATCAAGAGCTGGCGGATTCAGCCTCGTCAGCTGCATATGTTGTCCCTCCTGATGACGTTGAGATAGCAGACGCAAGTACAATGGAGGCGGCGATGAAGCTTTCCAAGGAGACTTTTGATTTTGAGGTGTCCAAGAGAGCTGGGGCCACTCAGGTTGAAGCGGTTCGAAACCCCGCTGTCGCCTCAAGCAGGCAAAATAGACAGAGGACGAGCACCGCCGATTCTGCATTGGATTACAGCGTGAGTACAGGTGCGCAGAACGATTCGTTTGCTCGGAATCCATCTTTGGGGATTCCATCGGAACTCCTTGAAGATGGTCCATCTTCGGTCGAAGCATCAGGGAGAGACGAGGCCTTGTCTCTTGCCGTGGCGTTGTCAAAGATGAACAACCGATCGGCTGATGCCGCGGCCAATAGTCTATCTCATGATGAATCTCTAGCGTATGCCCTGGAGATGTCTAGGAGGGCGCCGGGTGCTCATGGCTGCATGGAGACTCCACCGGATCGTCCGGGGCAACATTCGCAACACCCTCGGTCGGCGGACTCCCAGCAGCAGCATCCTTTCAACTTCCAACAAGCTTATCAAGAACAACGAACACCACAGTACCCCCCTGCTTTTCCTCCAAGCTATCTGCAGCCCTTCCAGCCTCCATATCCCTTTCAGCCTCAACCTTACTTGCAACATCCACAATACCCTCCTCCCATGTATGCACCTCCTCCCATGTTCCAGCCACTTCCTTACCAGGTTCCCCCTTATCAGCCGTACCAGCCACAACCATACCCGCCTCCAGGCTATCAACCACCAATGTATCCGCAGTATTATCAACAGCCACAGCAACAACCCTACTTTCCTCCAAACCAGCTGCCCTTCCGTCAGAATCCCAGCGTAGGAACCAACCCATTGTCGGGCTCGTTTGCACAGACTTTGAGTGCGTCTTCGTTCGACACTGGCGCTGCTTCTTCCAATTACCCACCTCGTTCTGCTGGCGAAGACAATGATGCAGCATTGAAGTTGGCGCTTGCACTATCGGCAGAGGACGCTCGGAACTCTAACAATAGGAGGCGCGAGCCTCGGGGTACCGGTGGTCCGGTCTCCTCAATGGCCGCAGATGACAAGTCATTGGCGTTGGCTCTCGAGCTGTCTCGAAGGGAAGCATTTCAATGACGGGGACCAATTCAGGTTGTTTAGTTCAACATGCATGTAGAGAAATATCACAATTCAGAAAGCTGAACAGGGTAGAAAACTAGTAACACTAAACACTTCAAAGAAACAATTTATTTCTTGTCTTCCGGCTGGTACGAAGTAGCGATTACATGGATTCTTCATGGTGGCAAGACTGGACCAGTGGCCAGCTTGAACGGTTCTATTGTCTGATGGCCCTGCCGGATCAAAGAAGAGGGTATCAAAGGGCATCCCAACATGGTGCTCGTTCCTCTTTTAGGTGGTAACGGCCAGACTGTGTAGCCCTGGAGAGACCCCCGTTCTCAAGCTATGGGAACTATTGGCAGGGGTGGTACTGGTACCGGTACCCTGATCGTGCCGAGGCTACTCCATGCTTCCCAGACGATGATACAGCAAATGATCCCAGGCACAATCAAAAAGTAGCTACGTTTCTCACATGTTACATGTTGCAGTTAGTTCGGTATTGTACTCTCCTCACCAATCCATTGATCCTTGCTGGCTTGGGGCTCAAAATCGAGGAGATGAATTCTAATGATCGAATGTTCGATCTAAGCTATTCGATTGAACAATTCGAATAATTCTGGACTCTTTTAATGACGAATATGACGTGAGACGTGAGTGAGCTTACCAAATTTACTTATGAAGGTTTCACAGGATGGTATTGAAATAGATTTAATGACCGACATAATTTTACTTAGAGGTCAGCAGGCGAAATACCAGACCCGACGACCCGACCAGAAAACAGCAACCAGCACCATCCCACATCGCTTGAAGCACTTCGTGTTGAACTAGCTACGGTATTAGAGCTCGCCACCGGAAGTGGGTGCTACCGATTGTCTCAAGCAAGCATTAGCATCGGTTGGAGCAGAAACCAGGTCAACGTTGATCCATTATCTGTCTCTGGTTCTGCCTTGCGGGTCTGAATTGACCAGCTTTCAACCGAAGCGGAAGGGTATCTCGCAGTCAACCTTCTTCTCGCTCCCGACCCATTGCAGCACCAGACAAGGACGTTATACATCCTCACACCCGCATACCCATCCATCTCCTATACGATCAATTTTCTGCAACCATGAACTGTCATTACCATGAATTTGGGGGCTCTTCCAGTGGCGGCGGCAGCAGAGGGAATCGAGCCATGTCGGAAATCGCCATTGCGCATGACATGAATCAGCCCTTGAGCACTTCCTACCATTACAGCAGCTCGGCCACACCTCAGGAGATTCAAAAGAAGCAGTACAAGGCTGAAATGGCCAAGGCAACGGCCATTACCAAACAATACAGCCATATCATTTCCAGTTCTCCTCCTCCTGCCAACAAAACCACAACTAGCACATATACGAATGCTAACCAGCAGTCTCCACCCTCCACAACAAGACCCAATCTGCGCCCACGAAGGACTTCAGCTGAACCAGGTGGGTTGGCGTTGAGCGGTTCCTTTCGATCCAAATCTCTTTCATCCCTGGCATCCTCAACAGATGACAACAATAATGGTAGTACCACTCAGGCTATCGGCAATGGCAGCGACCACAGCCACGCGGGAGATGAAGTTGCAGCAGCTGCAGCTGCCACAACTCCGCCTCCATTAAAGACAGACGTGACGGATTTACTGCTCACGCCCAAACTGTCACCACCAGCCCAGGACCCGTCGATGCCCACAAACGGCAACAACATGACTCCACCGGAATGGAATGCCCAAGTGACAGATATTGTCTCGAATCCTCCACTGAAAATGCCTGCCAAGAAACCTCCATCCACGAGAAGTTTGCACTCACAGCAGCAAGAAAGACGACAACGACATTCTTTTCAATTGGCACCGGCGGCGGCTGACCCCACTTCCTACCAACAACAGCCACAACCCAGACGTGTCTCGGATTCGATGGCCCTCAATTACAGCACAAACTCCGCCTTTCAATCCGGAACCTACAACAGTGCCAGCTCACCCGCTCGAAGGAGATTGTCTCCTGTTTACAATATTCATGACAGCACGCCACAACAGCGTCGTCCGAGTGGCACATTGGCCTTGGAGGAACAAGCACGCATGTTGTCCCAAATGCAGCAATCACAACCACAACATGCCCCTACAAAAGTTAACAGTGAGACGCTGGCTTTTGAGGAACAAGCACGCATGTTGTCCCAAATGCAGCAGCAGCAGCAGCAGCATCACAACATGCCCCTATAAAAGTGAACAATGAGATGCTGGCCTTCGAGGAACAAGCACGGATGTTGTCTCAATTGCAGCAGCAGCAGCAGCAACAACAACAACAACAACATTCCCCCGTAAAAGTGAACAATGAGACGCTGGCATTCGAGGAACAAGCACGCATGTTGTCCCAAATGCAGCTGCAACAGCCACAACAGGCCCCTGTAAAAGTGAACAACAACACACTGGCCTTTGAGGAACAAGTGCGTGTGTTGACCCAAATGCAGCTGCAGCAACCACAACATGCCCCCGTAAAAGTGAACAATGAGACACTGGCGGTCGAGGAACAAGCACGCATGTTGTCCCAAATGCAGCAATCACAACCACAACATACCCCTGTAAAAGTGAATAACAACACACCGGCCTTTGAGGAACAAGCACGCATGTTGTCCCAAATGCAGCTGCAGCAACCACAACCACATCCTACGAAAATGCAACATAGCGACAATGACGAACAGGCACATGCCATTTTGGAACAGGAAAAACTGTGGCGTGAACTCAGCGCCAGTCGCCGATCCGTCGAAACGGACACCACCAGCGCCACTTCCAGTGTGGCATCGTCGCCTGTGCTGTCTCCCAGAGAAGAGCAAGCACGGCTCTGGGAAAAGATTCAATTGGAACACAGCCAAGCGTCGCTCATGGGACATTCGTCGTTTCATCGGATGGATCCAAGCAACCTGTCGTCGTATGAACGAGGATATGCTTCCATGAGTAACATTTCCTCTCCGATTGAAGAGCAAGCGCGACTGTTGGAATCATTTCAACGATCCAGGAGTCCAGCCGTCACCACCACTAGCGGCAACAACTCGCTTTCGGGGACCTCGCAAGGGCAAGAACGAATGCTGCGAGCCATTACATCGCCGTCTCATCCAAACTCTCGAGGGTCGAGCCAATCACCACCCACTCGGGAGGAACCCGTCTGCCCTCTCCAGGAGCAAGCCAACAGGTTGCGAGAAATCCAAGATGAAAAAGAAAAACGCATTGTCGAAATGGCGTGCCAAATATCGTCTCGTGCGTTGGCTTTACCACCATCTCCATCACCAGATGAAGAAATGTCGCTCGAGTTGGTCATGGAACTGTCTCGTCAAGAGGCCGAAGAAGCCCAAGCCAAGGCAGAGTTGGCGGACGAGCAAGCCTTGCAAGTGGCACTCTCGCATTCGCGGGGAGAGACAATGCTCGTGGGTCCTCCTGCGGCGACTGTGACAGCAGAGGTAGTGGTGGAAAATGCTCCCGTCGTGGCCTCGTTGGTCGTCGATGGCACGTTGGTGGAAGAGGATCAGCAGCAGCAACAACCACAACAAGGCGATCTGGCGCTCCAAAGGAGCATGGCTGAACTGGCGTGCCAAAACTCGGATCCGTCGCTGGGGGAACAGCGGAAGCAGCCTACCTCACGCTTATCGTTTCCTACCCCCACCAATCGAAAGCCTCGTCGTCGGCTGCTGGCATTGCCTCGTTTCATCGTTGGGAAAAAGTGAGAGTATGCATAGCTTGTTCATCGCAAAGTTGCCAGTGTCAATGTCGTTTGCTAGCTAGAGAACTAAACCTGTGGAAACAAATATTAGATAAAGAACGATATAGCTAGATCGTACTACATGTCTCAAAATGCCATCACCGTTACCGTGCCATACGAGCACCCGAATGCCCTACCGGACTTGCACCAAGACGACAGCAAACCCCTGTCAAGCGAAGTGATGTCATCCAGTTCCTACCGGGGGGTTCAGTCAAGTCGATTCAGGGAAGATACCGCGGGTCAAAATTGTAGATTTGCTCCAAGTCGTCAAGAGAGATGTCATCGTCCTGAGTGAAACTGCGTCGGTATTCGTGTTGTAGGTGAGAAGGCTCATGGAAGCTACATGTATCGTAGTTGCAACCAATCTGCTCGTCGCAGTCATCGCAAAAGACGTCTTCCGTGTCTTCTTCGTGAAGCTCGTTCTTGATATCGAATCCTTCCACTCTGCTGCTTAGCTGCTGAGATTGCATTGCCTTCATGATCAGGGTCTCGAAACCTCGATGAAGGTTCCAATAGGTTTTGATATCAATGGCGGACGAACGGTCCTTTTGACCATGTCGTCGGATGCTAATGACGTATTCCTCGACGACAAGCGTGAAACGCTTCGAAACAATATGGGCGCCGTCTTGTTTATCGGGCAGCACACTCTCTTTGGAAAACAACGCGCACTGTAGGTACCGGCACCGAGGACGGCAGATCGAGGACGGGCGGTGTTTCTTGACGACCCCAACGCTGCCCCCCACTGTGCTTGTTTTCAGTGCCGGTGTACTCGTACCGGTAGCCATCGTTGAGTACCGGTACACGTACGAGTGGTGCACTCCTTGTGCTGTACCGGTAGGAACTCGAGGTGCGGCCTCCGCAATGCTCAGAACCTTCCATCCGCCACGAGGAGAGGAGGAGGAACAAGGGAATCGCAGGGGTCCTCTTAATAAGCTACTGAAAAACATTGGAGTTTGGCGCTATTTTGCTTTTCGGGAGTGTTATCCTCCAATTGTGAGACCAAGGGAGCGAAGCCATGAGTCGAGGAGCTCGACTTGATGGGAAAGCGGCCGCGAGCGAAGCGCGGGAGTCGATTTCCCCCAGGTTGAAGCATACGGTAAGGTCACCTGCAACCACTAATAAAAAGCCTTCCCCACAAGCCAAAAATTAGTTTGTGGTTTTGAAGCAGGCATCTTTGTTCAATTCATCTGAGACAGACAACTGAAAGGCAATTCACTTCCGTACCGGTAGGAAAAATTAGTTGCTATGCAGCTGAAACTCGAAGTTGCAATGCGAGGGCGATGGAATGAACGCATGCCACTTGCTTGGATTGGCATAAGCTATCGGTACGGCATAAAGATATGCCCTTGCCTAGCTAGTCATAGCTCTTTCATCCGCCTACCTGGCTTATTTACCGACTTTTCAGCGGACTTGGAAAACTCAGAATTGAGACCCCCATTCACAGTTCTCCTTTTGAACTTCACTTTGCCGTTAATCAATCATGAACGACCCCTAATCCTGGGAAGTGTGATCTGATGATCTGACTGGATCGTGTGAAAGGGAGGGGCTGTTCGACAAGCTCACTTTTTACATTTCTTTTTATTCCTTGTGCTCAAGGCTAAAGCGTGCTCCCAAGCAATGAAAGCAGCATACAGCATGGCATACAGCATTTCTGGCCGGCCTCCAATGGCTGCAATATGGTGTATGGTGGCACATAGCTGCGACGGTACCATCGTAGCGGCCAATTACCGTACCAGTGTATGCAGTTTGCCCTATTTGCATACATTGTTGACACAGTAGCAATTCTTAGCTGATGCGACCTCCTATGATGCCCTTTCTAAAGGAGATCCATTGTTCACACCTTTGTACTATTAATAGTGCCTGGTACTCCGATGATACTCTATTAAAAAGCTGAATCGGCACCCTCACTAGCTAGCTCGACCCTTCTTTTCTCATACTCATTACTCTGCAAAAGGCGATCCAACAGAATTTGGATCCTTGGGATGGATCCTTGGGGAGGTTGCTCCCCTGTCCCCAGACCTTCTCTTGCAGCTTGCAGCGCACATTCTTCACCGCTCACCGCGTGTCATGGTTTCGCCGCAAGTGGGTCTCGAGATTTCTTGAAGGGCTGGCATGTTGCGTGATATGGATGCCTTTCGCGTGCGTGCTTCCAACCTACAGTATTCCGATGTTGCAACAGTATGTCATACTTCTACTAGCTAGCCAGCCAGGTATCTCGAGTGCAACCAACAATCTAACAATTCCGTTAGGTAACTCCCAAGCTCCTCTGCCTCTTGAACTCTTGAACCCATTTCACAACAGTATTTCTTTCTGAAGCAAGGCAGGCAAAATAAGCCTCCAGGTAGCTGCTACCTTCCGGCTTCCGCAATCTGTTGCGCCCTTTTCTACAACAACGAATCGAACCAATCGATAGAAACCTCACCTGCTCCCTGCTTCAGCGCTAGCTAGTAGTCCTACACGAAGTAAAGTCTATGATGCTTGGATGATGCTCAGTGTCTTCGTTATCAGAATTCCGCAACCGTGAACACCACCGATGTGCCCATGCCGAGTTCTCGCGTTGAACCATGAATGAGGTTGGGAAAGGACGGAAGCAACAGATGGCTTCTTCAAGGACGGCGACTAAAAACGCCGAATAAAGGGCTTTCTTTCGCTGGATCTTTAAGTGGGACTGGCTTACAGTATCCACATTGTTTGAGCCGTTCAAGTCACACTTTGCACCTCCAGTGTGAGAATAGAGTCCTAATTAATAGAGACACCAGGTAACTGTTGGAGCTCTCTGGAGAGGCCACAGGCAACTCAGCCTTTGGAGCAAAAGGCATAGCACTACTCGTAGTTTACGCCTGAATGACTGAATAACAACTAATTCGATAGCGAGAATATCAATCTTAAATCGTATGAGCTCCTCCAGTACTGTATGCGTTATACTGATCAGGCTGAGAACAATTTATGCTTCCAAACGAAGTGCAGATCAGGACATGTCTGGTACTCTTTGTCTTTATATTACTGTTCTTCAATCTCACCTGTATTGATCGAGGAGATGGGAGATATTTGTTTGATACCCGTATGTATTTTATAATATGCAGGAGTCCGTAAGACCTCCGCGAAGAGCTCCAATTCTTCGGGGGCGGGCCCGCAACGCAATCCTTATGCGAGGACATGGATTCGGGGCTTTCCTCGGCATCCTTGTCTAGCTGGTGGCAAGCAATAAAATGTGGTTTCTTTGCATCCAGAAACCTGCTTGCTCAGCTTTCAATGCTGAAACTACTACTGAGTAGAGTAGGGCTAGTACAAAGGCCAGATTGGTAGCATCCTGCCGAACAAAGCAGAAAACTGGCTGTTTGCAAAATTGTATTCAGTCAAACCAACCCTCCAACAAAACAGTGTGCCAGTGCACCATGATCATACCGTATGGCAAGATAAACCAGCCAGCTGCACTCTCCGGTGCAGTAATAGTTTCAAGCTGAAGAAGCCCCTTTTTTAGTAAGAGCAGGGGAGAAACAATCAAATCAGTGATATCATTGACAAGAACCAGAGCAGGATTGGCATGATCAGACGGGAAGATGGACCTCTACATGTACCGGTACCGGTATGTTCTGAAGGTAATGAGTAGCTACATCTCAAGCTACATACTTGTACTTCCAATAGGCTAGATAGTAGATCTACTAGAGTACTCCAGTAGCTATGATAGGTACCCAAGCTACATACTCAATGCAACGTGGTTGTACTACAATTTATTCCCTCAACCTCCTGCTTCCTGCCAATATATCACAGGTTGTACCTGTGACCATTTCACAGAGCTTTAATAGTAAATTAGTAACCATGGTGTTTATCCATCTTACCAGAACAGGCCGACTATCGAAGCAAAGAAGCGCACTCCAACAGCAGCCAAAAGAGAAAGCAGCAAGAAGAGACCACATGCACAACAAACAACAGCAACTCGCAAGACAGGCAACAGCTTTTGCGAGTAGGTGGTAGTAGTAGGCACATGTAGTAGTGCCACTCAGCAGTGACCAGCCGTTAATACAAGCTACAGCTCTACTACTAAAAAGAGCAACCATCCGTAATATACACCATGGCCTCCCGACTCCCCGCTGCATCCTCCATCCCCTTACGGACCCCGGAAGAGGAGGTGGAAGTCCCAGTTCCAGAGAGTCACAGCAGCGTCAGCAACCTGAAGAAGTCGACGAGTTTAGGCGAGCTGAAGAGGGAGAGTAGTACCGGCAGTGGGAGCCAGAACAGTGGAGACGACGACAACTATCCTCAAAAGGCAGCAAAACCGCAAGAAGAAGCTTATCCGCCCGCCGCAGCAGCAGCAGCTCCCCCAGCGGCGGCAGCTGGAAGGGTCGCCTACCGTCGAAGCAGCAGCAGCAGCGAGGACTCGCCTCCTCCTGCAGGAGTTGCCGCGGCCCGTCTTCCTCGCGACGACAATCTCTACGCGAGTCTTGTGCGCTATCAAGAAGAGAACGACGACAATACGACAGTGTCCATGCCGAGCGATGCTTTGCGTAGCGTCTCGACGGGTTGGTATTCGGTTCAGTCCGATGACGACCGCAAAATCCCAGCCAGACCCACAGGCGGGACATACGAAGGCACGTATCGAGAGCCCATTAGGCGTCCCTATCGTCCTGCGAATAAGAATGGACAGCATAGCAACGGCAACAGCCCCATGAATAGCGACAGCAGTCGCAACGACAATACCAGCAACAGCAATAGTTCTTCCGACGCCGACAGCAACGACGATGACAACAACGACGACAACAACAACGCTCCTCCTCCACCCGCCGCTGCTGCCAGAGCTGCCAGCATGAGCTCTGTGGGTCGAGCTTCCAATTCGCAGTCCTCCAATAGCTCGGGCTACACCACTCCGAGTCCTGGGAATCCTCATTTCCGGCGAGCCAGTAGTACCAGTAGTGGAGGATCCTTTCGAGGCGGATTGTTCCCACCGCCCACGTATCCTGCGACGCGACGAACTAGCAGCGGCAGTCGAACTCCCCCGCCTCCATCGGCATCGACACGAGCGGCGTCGGCGGGGCTTCCCACCGTGGTCCATCATGACGACATGGACGACCAAACGGCACTTTCCAGTATCGTAGCTTCCACAACCGAAGAAGGATTCGCCCCCTTTTCCCGTTTCCCATTGGGTGTTTTAGAAGAAGCCGATAATACCGGCATGAACATGGCCACGGGCCACAACAACAGTGAATTTGCCTGTCTCAGTGCCGCCGCTCAATTGGCGCAAGAATCCAACATGGGAAATATGATCGAGACGACTCGTAGTGCTCCCAATCCATACGAGTCGGGTGCTGGTGGAACAGGCATGCACGTTCCCCCAAGCCGTGGTGATCCCAACAGCAACTGGGATGATATGGAAATTGCCTTTCAAAATCTCATGTCGCCGTCCTCTCAATTGGCCTTGGAAATTCATCAGTTACAGCCAAAACCGAACGGCGGCAACCGAATGGATCATTCTGCCACCACACCCTGCGAACAACCACCCTGTCGAACGAGAGCGGCTGGAGACAATGTGAATTTTGAGCCCATCAGTCATCAGTGCCCGCCCCCTCCGCCGATGAATGACTACACACGGATGCAGCAGACACTAGGAATGACGGACCTGCCAGCCCCACCGGGATCAACCAGTGCTACTCAAAGCGTTGCTAGCATTGGTGGCATGTCTCAACAGAGCGCTAGCCAAGCATCTTCGAGTGCGGCTCCCCCCCGAAGCACCCTGTCCATGCCATCGTCGAGTAGTACAGACCAAGGACCTGCCTGCTCCCCCACCAAAAATACTAACAATACAAAGCTCCCTGCATCATCCAGCAGCACCAACAATGGTGACCCTACAGCCGAAGAACAGTATCAAATATGGAAACAAATCCAAGAGGAACTAGAACGAAAAGAAATGGAACTGGCGCTTCAATTGTCGACTGCGAACGACGGAAGTAATAACAACAATGCAGGCAACGGTACTGCTAGCGGTGGTACCAGTGGTGGCGGCGGTGGTGGCTCTGCCTCCTACCCCTGTCAGAATCCCAAGCCTCCGACAGCAGAATCGGGCAGTGGCGGCGGTGCCAACGGAGAAGAGGAAATTGACGAAGAGGAAGCTCTCAAGGTTGCTCTCAGAATTTCGGAGGAAGAAGCAAATGCCGCCACGAATAATGACAATGACAACGAAGAAGACGAAATCGCTCGGGCATTGCGATTATCGGAAGAACAGGCAGAAGAAGATCGGAGACGATTGCAGCAACTACAAGAACAAGCGGGAGAAATGTCAGAAGAAGAACAACTGCGACTTGCCATCGAACAATCGATGCAGCAAGACGCCCAATCCTCGGCGACCCCAGGATCGTTCCGCCAGGAAGACCAAAACGATGATGGCGGTGTAGACGAGGAGATGAGACGTGCTCTGGCGGAATCATTACAGCAACCTCACCAGCAGAACCAGTCGCTGCCGCAGCATGTGGAGAACGAAATAGAGTCTACGAACGTTGGTGATGATGATGGTATGGACGAAGACATGAGACTGGCCCTGCGATTGTCACAACAAATGGAAGAAGAGGAACGCCGCCTTCGTGACGGCTTTGCTCCTCAAGAACCGCAAATACCGCCGGAACATTTGTCGGATGGCAGAGCGGATAGCTTCCGAGATCACATGCAAGCGTTTCCTGGTCATGAAATGTCGTCGTCTCGTGCCCCTGCATCGATGGACGACTCTGGAACCATGCCTCCAATACGACCAACTCAAGCACCGACCTCTCCTGGTCTGAACCAACCAATGCGAAACCAACAACAGGCGGACAGGCCGGTCAGCCGTTGGAAGAACAGACTGATGGGCGGCAGCAATCACGATAATGACCACCCAATGGACCCCTTGGATATCCCTGATTCCATTCCACCGCATCATCCGTCAAGAGAAGACATACAAGAGCTGTCTCTTTCGCAGCATCAGAAGCAAAACGCGTACTTGCAGAATTACAAGGCGACACAAGGTGGGGGAAGAGTCCATGCCCCAGATGATGGTAACGACATGCCACCAGTGAGCCGACCACAAAGACGCGGCCAGCAGCAACATTGGCCCCCTAGTGACCCTGGAGTGAACGTTGTTGATATTGACAAGGAATCTCGTGATGTGATGGTCCGAGAGGGTCAATCTGAAACACGTGCTGCTATCATGCAGGGACATTCTCAAATCGTGACATGCCGTGGTTGCCTCGGAAAACTGCACGCTCCCATGAATTGCGCTCTGGTATTCTGTCCCACCTGCAACACCGTGAGCCCGCTGGATGATTCTCATTACGGCTAGCTTCATTATTTGAACAGGTTTCTCACAAGATAGTGGGTCTTACTTTTGATTGCCGGTGTGATGCGCTGGTGGTGTCCGAGAGGCCAGTGTGGGGGTTTTATTGCATAGCATTGCACGAGGGGTTGACGACTGTCAGATGGTGATGGCTGAGTGCTTATTTCACGTTCAATCAAGAACGATTGGCGAGTCTAACAAATAGAGCAGCATACTGTCTACTAGTGGCTTTGATTAATTAAAAGGACGATTTCGGTGTCTCGACGAGATAGAGAACAGCAGAATTCGTCATAGAAATCAAGGACATGCGTGCGGTTCATGGTGCTGGGTACAAACCGTTGGCAACACACAATGTGTCTTTTGGAGGGGAGATGCTCTCCTGTCCCTCACTAATTAACAGGTACCAGTACTAGTACCAGGTATTGTGCAGCTAGCTAGAAGTAGCAATTGTCTGATCGATTCGATTCTATCTCTTTGCAATTCCTAATCATCTTTATTCCGATCTTTTTTCGGCACTGCAGATTCAAAGGACGTCCTTCTTGGAGGTGGTGGCAATATCCCAAATTTTCCCAATATCCAAGCCACTCTGTCCGATGGTTGAGCGCCCACAGCAATCCAGTACTTGAGGCGATCTGTCTTGAGTCGAATTTCCTTCATTCCATGCCGGTTCGCAATAGGATTGTATGTGCCAACAATCTCCAGGAATCGACCATCTCGAGGGGCCTTGGAGTGAGCCGCCACCATTCGATAAAAGGGAGCATGTGTACGCCCGAAGCGTTGCAATCGCAGGCGAACTACCATTCTTTCAGTTCTTTCACTTCAAGGTTTGACACAGAGAGAGGGTCAGATCACAAGAGGCAGGCAGTGTGTGGGATGCCTTTGGTCTGATGTTGGGTGCTATGCGGGGTGCTGTGGTCTCTTGGCAATGTATGTACATGTATGTGTGGTGGTGTCCAGCGAAGTTTATGGCAGTATCGGTACGCACGCTTGCCCCTCAAGGAAAGATTCCCAGGAGCTGTTCTTCGGCCACACCAGAACGGTACGAGCGGTACTAGCTAGCTAGTACAGCTGTACCGGTGGCCAGTACCCGGAGCCCCAACAGCTGAGACAGACCCAAACACCAAAACCATACCTTACCGAAAATTGATTTCAAACCATGAAGCAACCCTCAATGACCTTGTCCCTTCTTCTTTTGATGGCTGTTGGCACTAGCTAGTGCCGCACTGAAGAATGGAGAATGCACTGAAGATTTCTGCGCTTGCCAGATTTCATATCCTGTCAGCGGTGCTGAGCGATCGTGCCCGGTAGATGACATTGACTTGAGAAAGTCAAACTTTTCTTCCAGTTGACCCACTTTCTTCGACGCAAT